TTCATTACACAAATGATTATAAAGAAACTATGAAAAAACATTTTTCACACTGTATATTTTTAGGCCCATTATTTTTTTTTATGAATTGTGCCTTTAATCACAATCAAGTACATTTCCCATCCAAATCATCACTATTAAGACAAAAGAAAAAATCATGACTGTAAACTGTAAAAATTAAAAGTCGTAAACAAAAAGATTAGAGTATGTTTTACAAGAAAACACTACTTCAGTCTTCCTTCGAAATTTCATATTTAATTAAAAGTATTACTTACCATTTCTTTGTAATTATTTGTGAAATTTACTAACAATTTTTATTGTTATTTTTAATACGGTTTCAAACATTTATCATTGCATATTACATACTATTTCACATGCTTTGTATGTACGTTGAAGTTGTAAACAAAACAGATTACTGGATTATATTTTACAAGAAAATAGTATATCAGTCATTCTCATTTTTTTTTCATGTTTAATTCAATGTGTTAATACCTGCTGTTTCTATGTAATAATTTTTTTAAGTTACTGGCATTTATTTTTCAAACATTTAACATGCTATACAGTTTCAATATGCTTTTTCTAATTTTTTTTTTGTAGACCGACTTCTCTTTAACAAGCAAGAAAATGCTATTTCAGTTTTTCTTCAAAATTTCATGGTTAATTATGTTACTTACCATTTCTTTGTAATTGCTACATAAAACTTTTGTATAACAAACTAATGTATAACAACAAAAGTCAGCACCTTTAGAAACTTATACGCGGCGAAGAGCCCGACACCGATGGCGTAGATGGGCATGAGGGTGAAGACGTAGCCCTTATTGTTGTTGGGTTTGTATTTGTCGCTCTTCAGCTCCTGCTCCATGAGTTTCTTCATCTGCTGCATGTTCTCCACGCTCTGAGACATCTGAGGCGCCGCGTTCCTGTGGAACTGCTGCTGACTTTTCAGACTACCAGGACCGAGACCGGGACCAGGACCTGCAGAACCACACACAATCAAATACACATCCAGGGTTTCTGCAGATTTTATGAAGGTAAATTTAAGACTGTAAGACCTTTTCTAAGATGAATAGGGGAATAGATATGTCAATATGTTCTCTACAGCTTCCAAAAGATCTCCATTAGTTCATGTTCTCATAAAACAAGACAAATCATTTTGCATCTTTAAGATCTTTTTGAGACATTTTAAGACCCACAGTATCTTTGTTCTCCAGAGAGGCTGTTTATACTGCACATCATTATGAATGAAACAAAGACATATGTGACCCTGGACCACAAAACCAGTCATAACGGTCTATTTTTTTTTTTAATTGAGATTTATACATCATCTGAAAGCTGAATAAATAAGTATTTGAAAACTACTTGAAAATCTGGAATCTGAGGGTGCAAAAAGATAAAAATAGAGTAAATCACCTTTAAAGTTGTCCAAATGAAGTTCTTAGCAATGCATATTACTAATCAAAAATGAAGTTTTGATATATTTACGGTAGGAAATTTACAAAATATCTTCATGGAACATGATCTTTACTTAATATCCTAATGATTTGGTGATATAAAATGAATATAAAAATGGTGTTAAACATCTCTATATGAAATGACAAACAGATGACAAAAATATTTTTGCAGTAAACTCAACAGAACCGTAGACGTAACGTTAGTAAAATCCAGCAAAAACCCACAACAAACCTAAAAAATGTAATATATGTGACCCTGGAGCACAAAAGCAGTCATAAGTCGCTGGGGTATATTTGTAGCAATAGCCAACAATACAGTGTCAAAATGATCGATTTGTCTTTTATGCCAAAAATCATTAGGATATTAAGTAAAGATCATGTTCCATGAAGATATTTTGTACATTTCATACTGTAAATATATCAAAACGTAATTTTTGATTAGTAATATGCATTGCTAAGAACTTCATTTGTACACAGGCGATTTTTTTGCACCCTCAGATTCCAGATTGTCAAATAACGTTAGTTGTATCTCGGCCAAATATTGTCCTATCAACTAACAAACCATACATCAATGGAAAGCTTATTTATTCCGCTTCCAGATGATGTATAAATCTCAGTTTCAAACAATTGACCCTCATGCGTGGTTTTGTGGTCCAGGGTCACGTATAGTGGTAAACACAGAGCCAGAAAGTAAACAAACACAGCCGAGGCTGGTCCGCTCGAGTCCGCACCTCTCCTGTTGACCCGCGGATCGAACGGCTGGCCGTCTCTGCTTCCTCCGCCGCCGAACATCCGCGGGAACAGCACAAACACCAGCAGCACCGCCGTGAACGCCACGACGAGCTGCTGCGAGGAGGACAGCGCCATCTCTGAGCCACAATTAATACATTTATGAGGACAATTCCCCCACTGTTGCTGACTAAATGCTTTCTTCGGTGTGTTTGTGCGACAGAAATCTCGCAAGAGCGCCACCACTGACCTCTACAGGACTGGCGTGGAATTACTGCTCGGCGGTATTTGTGACTGAACCACATAACCAGTCACAAGAGACTTATTTTTAATTTTTTATTTTTTTATTGAGATTTATACATCAAGCTAAATAAATAAGCTTTCCATTGTTGTATGGTTTGTTAGGATAGGACAACATTTGGCTGAGATACAACTATTTGAAAATCTGGAATCTGAGGGTGCAAAAAAAAAAATCACAATATTGATCAAATCGCCTTTAAAGTTGTCCAAATTAAGTTCTTAGCAATGCATATTACTAATCAAAAATTGAGTTTTGATATATTTACGGTAGGAAATTTACAAAATATCTTCATGGAACATGATCTTTACTTAATATCCTAATGATTTTTGGCATAAAAGAAAAATGGTTTTCGCTGCTCTCCCTGCTCTCATCCATGCTAGGCTGCATGGATGCGCAGGGAATTCTTGCCCAGAACGGAACCATACCGCCAATCCAAACTGTATGCTAATTGTCAATCATCTTTGACGATAGTGGTCCTGACAGAAAATTTCTTTCTTCTAATGATATCATCTCACACGTTAGCAAGCTAACAGGTTGCTTTCAGAACTTTGGCTAACGTTCTGGCAAGGTTTTCAAAGCTATATGAACAAAGGTTCTTGCGGCAACGGTAATGAACATCAATAGTGAATTAACATTCCAATTCCAGAGATAGAATTTATATTTTTATATAATAGGTAATGGTAACCTGATGATTTATAACATCATTTTTTCATTAACATTATTGGTTCTTCTTAAATGTGCAATTCAGCAAACCTCCCGTGTTGCTGGAAAAGCAAATTTGGTTACTGATTACCTCAGCTTGTTACTCAAGTCACGAGTTCTTATGGTCATTATTATTTTCAGACAGACATCTAGGTGTCATTGCATTTTGCTGTCAAACGTATACAAATGATAAGCCTGCAAAGAAGAGAAATGTTTAATTTAAAATGATCAATTCTAAAAATGTCCTTCGCAAAACATTTTTAAATCTTACTACTTGATCCAGAACATTCAGAGAACATTCAAAAGTAAAATTCGCGTTAGCCTCACGGTTAGTGCCGAGTTCGAATCCCATCTCAAGGTCCATGCCAATCCCGCTCCCCTCCCTCTACCCAATGCTTTCCTGTCATCTCTCGACTGTCCTCTCTGAATAATAAAGGAATACAAATTTTTGATTGTGTGTGTGTGTATACTGTATATATATATATATATATATATATATATACATATCATCTACAGTACAGTACATATCTATATATATATACTGACATTAATGTGAGTTTTCTGAAATGTTTAAATATGCACATTACCTAATTAATTGTGTTCTAATTTAAATCTAATTGGTATGAAAACTTGTTTAACCTCAGGTTAAAAAACTAAATAATTGTTTTTTTTTTTTTTTTAAAGGTAGGATTTTTTCTCTCATAATTTGGATTTTTTTTCTCACAATGATATATAAACAAACCCTTCTGTAAAAACCTTCAGAATACAGATAGCAAAAAATCGTTAAGTCTGGTGTATGTCAGTGCTGCTTATGTAAACGCCCCTTTAAAGATATGTAACTGAAATATACAGACAAATAGATAACGTGTACTTTAATAAACACTCATATCTTGCCTTCTCAAAAGCAGAAGATAATGCTATCACTGCTATTAACAAGCACATTAAATAGTTTTCACATGATTGAGCAGATGGACTCTAGACTTTGTCTTATCCTTATCTGAATTGAAGGAGAATGTTTTGTCATTTTCCACCTTTATTTGTTTTTCACCTAAATTATTCTAAAGGCCATAGTTCATTTTTAGTTCATCTATCTTTAAAACCGTTTCAAACATCAAGCTTTTACAAGTACTTCGAACTTTCAGACTAGGCTTTCTCAAGCTAACAAAGTTTGTCTTACATTTTTTTTTTTCTAGTTTAAATTGTTGCACTGCAGCCGTCATCTATAGCTTCATTTAAAAACATAAAACAGAAGCTGTTTGTAGACGATGCAGAATTAAATGTTTGCACTTTGGAATGCCCCCATTTTTTCCTCAGAATTCTGAGTTTACATCAAGCAACTCTAAGTAAGCTTCTGTATATTTGACATTCAAAAGTGTTTTTGTTAGGTTGACTTTTTGTGCATGTTGCTTTATTCAATGAGAAACTGATGTGGAAATGTCAAGTGTGGTGACGTGATTTCCTACCTATGATTTTAGTATTATAGACAAATGAACTTAAAAACCCTAACACTCTTTTCTGTGTACTCAAAAAACACAGATTTGAGTATACTGGAATCTACAAAGCAGAGCAGAACATTTAATTACATGACTGAAGTAGTATTTTCTTGTAAAACATGCTCCAATAATCTTTTTTTTTTTGTACTCAATACACTTGAGCAGCTATAATAAACAAACAAACAAAAAAGACTAAGTTAAACTAAAATGTGTTTAAAATTAGGATGAGGGACTTTTCAGGGTGAAGTGATGGCTACGCCTTGTCAATTCAACTGAAAGCGCTTGATAACGAGAGCAGACCTTCACTTTCAGCTTCACATGTGGGGTGCAGCTCACACACACTCTTCCTGCTCACATTTAATTCAGAAACCAGCTCACAGCAATTAAAGGTAATGTTGCTCTGTCTGTATAACTCTTTTTAACAAACTGTGAAATTATTAGAATTAAATGAGATTTAAAAATTGTCATAATTTGAAAATTATTTGACAAAAAAAAATGTGGGAAATTATATTTCCAGTACAAATAGAACAACACAGTTACTTGGTTTTGCATATGTTTTGGTCAAATTTGGGTTTGTTTAGTTGTTAAAGTATCCATTTCAGACAAATTGATTTATTCTTGAATAAAGAACATAGTTTTAAACCAGTTGTGCAATGAATGACACATTTCTAGCTGCACCTGTCTATCAATAATGCATTATAATAGTGTATAATTAAGAACTAAGAACTAAGATCTGACCGCAAAGACTCATTTGTCTCTAGATCTGAAGCACAATGACATCTCAGGTCTCAAAGACTGTCCTGCGACTGGAGGCTGAAGACATCCGGGCACTAAAAGATGGAATTAATTTTAAGAAAAACCAAGAGGATGGCAAATGTTACATCATTTACAAAGGCAAAGACAAAATACGAGCGTGTGTGAACCAGTGCAAACACCAGGGAGGACTCTTCATTAAAGACATAGAAGACATGGACGGCAGGTGGGTGAATCGAAACTAACATAATAGGGGAAAAATAAAAAGAGAACAAGGGAACAATGTTTACCAGACAAATAGCTAATAGCTCATTTAGTTATAGTTATAAATAAAAATAGCTCAAGTTCACTTGGGAAAAGGCAAATATATACATGCAAATATTCCTGCAACAGATATACAGTGGTGGCCAAAATTGTTAGAACACTTGGCATTTTTAAGAGGTTTCAGTTGTTTTTGTTGAATTGGCCAGTACAATGCCCATAAAACGAACTACTGCCAGAACTACCAGCGACCGAAGGAATCTGCTGGAACATTGAGAATGATGCACTGGCCCCCTCAAAGTCCGGACCTCAACCCCAGCGAGCAAATTTGGGGCGAGTTGGAAAATAAACTGGACAGATCTATTGTACATTCAAAGGAAAGCCTTTGGCTTGAGTTGCAGAAGGCATGGGATAACATTAGTGTTGAAGTTCTCAGGAAATATATTGACACTATGCCAGAGAGATGTGCTGCTGTAAATGCTGCAAAAGGTGGACATACCAAATATTAAAGTTAAAAGTGGATAAAAACCGTACGACTCACTTCATCTGATATTTGATGTGCTCAGCGCAACCATCTGCATGTTTCATGAACATTATGAAATGAAATCATGTTTTGGACACAAAAAAATGTCAGTATTTTCTGATCTGTCAGGTGTTCTAACAATTTTGGCCACCACTTGTATAGATTTTTTATAGATGTTTTTGAAGGAAGTCTTTTAAACTTTAGTAAATATTTCTTACTCCAGTCTTCAGTGTCACATGATCCTTCAGAAATCATTCTAATATGCTGATTAGCTGTTCAAGAAACATTTCTGATTATTATCAATGTTGAAAATAGTTGTGCAGCTTCATATTTTCATGGTAACCATTATATATCACAAGTATGAAGGGGTAAGTAAGAAATTAGTACTTTTATTCAGCAAGGATGCATTAAAATGAATCAAAAGTGTGTCAGGTTTTATGGTAAGGCATGAGCGAGGACTCAAATGCAGATTTCAATGGACACCAAATACACAAAATAATGATCTTTAAAATAGCATCATATGACCCCTTTAATTGATAAAAGAAAACATAAAACAAACAAAAACTACCCCTTCGGGGGAAAACACAACTGGCAGCGGGACTGGGCAGGGCAGGGCAGAGAAGGAACATGCAAGGTACACAGGCAACACACAAAGGGAACATTTGCCGGAGCTTACACAAAGAGGTTTCTGTGATGCTAAGAAGTGGAGATTTCAGGTCAGGACATAAAGCAGCCCAAAATGGGCAAAATGGCTGTATGCACACACAAAAAAACAACAAAAAAACAAAAACATTTTATCGACAGCAGAGACAGAGTCTGTGGCAAGCCATTCACACCATCACTGACTACAAGTCCCTGCAACAGTCGTCCTAGGACTCTGGAGACCCCATGGCTGAAGAGGACTCTATCTGGAAGACCTGTTTGTGATGGTCTCCATGGCCATGATAGGCAGAACAGGCAACTTTGGGTCCTCCAGGAGCACCAGAGTCAAGTCTTCCAGGACCACCAGACTTGGGACCACCGGGCTTGGGTCCTCCAGGAGCACCAGAGTCAGGTCTTCCAGGACCATAAGACTTGGGATCACTGGACTCGGGTCCTCCAGCACCACTGAATTTGGGATCACCACACTCAGTTCCTCCAGGACCACTGGAGTCAAATCCACCAGGACTACCAGACTTGGGTCGTCCAGGATCACCAGACTTGGGTCCACTGATGTCAAGTCCTCCAGGACCACTGGATCTGACGCCATCGAAGTCAGGTCTTCCAGGACTACTGGATTCGAGACCACCACACTCGGGTGCTTGAGGACCACTGGCCATGGGACCATCGGAGTCAGGTTGTCCTGAGACCATTGGATTTGGGTCCTCCAGGACTACCGCACTCAGGTCCTCCAGGAACACTGGATTAAAAACCACCGGAGTCAGGTTCTCCAGGACCATTGAATTTGGGACCACCATGACTATTGGATTCGAGACCACTGCACTTGGGTGCTCCAGGACCACTGGCCTTGGGTCCACTGGAGTCAAGTCCTCCAAACAGGGGCAGACTTAACCAATAAGCGAGGTAATCAGGGGGCCCCATTTGATATTGGTGAAACATATTTGGCAAATGCTCCAGTGCGTATTTGTGTTATGGAGAGTATCAAATGTTCACTCACCGCTCACCAAGTTTTTGTCAGGTGCTGAGTTCTACAAGCTTGCGAATCCTCTCATTATAACGTGTAGATACGATGTCAGTAAGATATTCATTGTGCAGTGCAGACAGCTTCACTGATTAACGGAGCGTTGTGAGATTGCAATGAACTGAAGTGAATGACCTAGAATGAAAGCTTTTTGTGATTATAGAGGTGGCGCTCTTTGCGCAATTTCTAGGCTGTATAATACTGTCTGAATGTCTCAGAATGGATATATTAACCTCAGAGAAGAAAGAATCGTGTTTCGTGTCATGATTTTATTTGTCTTGATGTTTGAAAATGACTCGCTTGTGTGCTTTTCCTATGCGCAGCTCGTATAAATGCATGAATGCGATGACTGGAGATTTTCTCTTAATAATAGTTTACATTTTCAATTTGTTATACGGCAAACCCTACTGTATGCCTTAAGAACACTTGGGATATGGAACGAGTTGCATGGGATAATTTTTTATGACATTTGAAACCTTTTTGTAAAAAGATTAAAGAAGTTACAATTCATTAAATGGACAAGTGCATTTTTTTTTACAATGTCTTCTTTTGTGATCTGAAAAAATAAGGTAGCCTAATATGGCTTTAGTACAACATCAGGTTGACTAATTATTTACTTAAGTTGTGAAGGGGTAAATAAACTAGTTATAGCTATAACCTATGAGAGAGAGCAAAGTAAGGGTTAGGCGTAAAAGAGCATAATGTGTTGGGGCCCCAAACCTAAAATTTGCTTAGGGCCCCCAAATCACTAAGTCTGCCCCTGCCTCCAGGACCACCAGACGAAGAGGGGGCTGCAGTGTGTTCAGCCACTATAGTGACTCCCCACTATGGTGTAAATGGTGCCCCAGCCTTCCCATCTCCCAAGGGCTGTGGGGCTTTGTGAGGCAGATGTTAAAGAGCTCCTTCAGGTCAGTGTTGTAATGATAGAGCAGGTCGTCAATCATGGCAAGGAATTCGTGGGCAAAGTCCTTGACGTTGTTCCTCCCCTGATGAAGGAAGAGTTGCTGGACAAGCGGGACCATCTGCTGTTCCACTAAGACCCCAAAAGAGGCAAACAGAAAGAGGAAGGTGCCCATTGAAGCTCTGCAGTGTCCTCTTTCTTGTTGAATCGTTCTGTCAGGTTTTGTGGTAAGTAATGAGCGAGGACACAAATGCAGAGTTCAATGGGCTTTATTTAAATGATAAAAGAATAATATATATAATATAAATATAAATAAAACAAACAAAAACTACCCAGAGGAGGCAAAACTAGACTAGACAGGGCAGGGCACGGTGGGAACAGACAAGGCACACAGACAACACACAAAGGGAACATTTCACAATGATCCGACACAGGACTGAGAACACAGGTAGAACAAATAGGGAAGAATAAAGAATAAACCAGACTTAAGTGACAGAACCCTGAGTGGCAGTTATTTAGGCATGTTACAAAAGATCTCTATTTCAAAGAAATTCCATCAAAGAGTCCTGAAAACCAATGTATCACAGTTTCCACAAAAATAATGTAGCAGCACTGAGTGTATTAAACAATGATAATGATCAGAAATGTTTCTTGAGCAGCAAATCAACATATTCGACTGATTTCTGAAGGATCATGTGACACTGAAGACTGGAGTAATGATGTTGAAAATTCAGCTTTGCGTCACAGGAATAAATGACATTTTACAGTATGTTTTGAATTGTAAAAACATGTAACAATATTACTGTTTTAACTGTATTTTTGATTAAATAAATGCAGCCTTAGTAAGCAGAAGAGACAAAAACATTTTCAAAAAATATAAATATTTATTACGAATCACTAAAAAAGTGCACTTGTGTGTTTGTGTAACAGAACAGTGCGCTGCACCAAACACTACTGGAAACTGAACGTGGCCACAATGGAGTATGTCAACCCTCCAGACAGCTTCATGCAAGACGAACTCGGTAATAATATCACTGTTATTTAAAAAGAGTGCATTGAAATCAATTTCATACACTCTTGAAAATACAGTAGGTTCTTTTTTGGCATCAATGGTTCTATAAAGTACCTTTAATATCCATGGAAATTTTCCATTGCACATTGCAAGTTTCGTTATAGTGACAAAAGATTCTTTAGAATTCTAAAATGTTCTTTGCGCTAAGAAATTAAGAAAAAAATGAAGACACGTTCACTGAAAGGTTCTTTGGGGAAGCAAAAATGGCTCTTCTAAGGCAACACTGAAAAAAAAACCTTTGAAACCTTTATTTTAATGACATTTGATGTCATTTTAATTGCAGCTAATATAAATAATATGTATTCATAATATAGATGGATATTAATTGTATGTAGTTGTTGGAAGTGAATGCTGTGTTATTGTCTTACTGTGTTTGTGTGTGTAGAGGCAGTGCTGTCAGATACTGATGGTAGTTTAGAGCTGGTGGAGTTGAATCCTCCAGACCCCTGGACCGCAGAGCCCAGAGAAGCACAAGAGCTGCATGCCGGAGAGATTATGGTACATAACAATGACACAAAACAGACCATATATCTCATGTCTCTGATGTAAACAAACTGCTTAAAAACTTGAAAACTGCTTAAAAAACTTGAAGCAATGTACGCCATTGTTGACTGATTACTTTATACTTCTCTTCTCACATCCACACCCATGTAAATACACGGCGCCTTGTACCAAAAAAAATAAAAAATTGGACAGCAGCTGTTTAAAGTTTGATTTACAACCCGGAACATAAATATTGACCAAACAATACAATATTTGACCAAACTGTAATAAAATGCCAAAGGACAATCAATATGCAGATGACGTCACTGACAGTGTTGGGAAGTAACTAGTTCCAACTAAATTACATAATTTAATTACCAAATAAGTGTAATTATAATCGGTTACAGTTACTGAGAAAAAAATGTGTAACAAAATTATAGTTACTTATGAAAATATTAAGGAGGTTACATCTAAAAAACTAAAATTTCACACACACCCACATACTGTCATGAATCCTGTCCATGGACTTCCGTTCGATCGCCACCAGAGGTCACCCTTTCGTTACATTGACTCTCACACTACACAAACTGTTACATGTCATCCCGGACTACATATCCCATCATCCATTGCACTGATTGCACACAGCTGTAACCAATCACACATTCACTATATAACACCCACTCAGATCCTGCTCAAGTCACCGAGTATTGTTTAGCGTTTATCACTGTGATAGCTACTTTACAGAGCTTGCTCTAGTTTTCATAGTCATAGTCATAGTCATAGTCTTGCCTTGCCTGTTTTCCTGGTTCCTGATTCTTGCCACGTATCTTGGATTAACCCTCTGTCTTGCTGTTTCAGACTGTGTTTGCACCTCTCCTGGACTATTGTTCATGTTATTGGATTGCCCCTCTTGTCAAGCCCTCTGGATACTGTTCGCCGATCGAAGACCCACGCTAGCCCTAGGAATATTCTTGGTCCTGCCTGTGATATACCTATGTTATCTGACCCTTGCCTGTTTATTGACCACGCCTTTGTAAATAAAGCCTTGCACTTGGATCCGCACGTCTCATGTTCTGATTACTCCGTAACAGAATACTCAGCCAAGCAAGGATCCAGCAGCTTTTCACGCAGACATTGGCCAGGTATGGATATGGCAAGACAAAATAATGTAGCAGCACTGAGTGTATTAAACAATGATAATGATCAGAAATGTTTCTTGAGCAGCAAATCAACATATTCGACTGATTTCTGAAGGATCATGTGACACTGAAGACTGGAGTAATGATGTTGAAAATTCAGCTTTGCGTCACAGGAATAAATGACATTTTACAGTATGTTTTGAATTGTAAAAACATGTAACAATATTACTGTTTTAACTGTATTTTTGATTAAATAAATGCAGCCTTAGTAAGCAGAAGAGACAAAAACATTTTCAAAAAATATAAATATTTATTACGAATCACTAAAAAAGTGCACTTGTGTGTTTGTGTAACAGAACAGTGCGCTGCACCAAACACTACTGGAAACTGAACGTGGCCACAATGGAGTATGTCAACCCTCCAGACAGCTTCATGCAAGACGAACTCGGTAATAATATCACTGTTATTTAAAAAGAGTGCATTGAAATCAATTTCATACACTCTTGAAAATACAGTAGGTTCTTTTTTGGCATCAATGGTTCTATAAAGTACCTTTAATATCCATGGAAATTTTCCATTGCACATTGCAAGTTTCGTTATAGTGACAAAAGATTCTTTAGAATTCTAAAATGTTCTTTGCGCTAAGAAATTAAGAAAAAAATGAAGACACGTTCACTGAAAGGTTCTTTGGGGAAGCAAAAATGGCTCTTCTAAGGCAACACTGAAAAAAAAACCTTTGAAACCTTTATTTTAATGACATTTGATGTCATTTTAATTGCAGCTAATATAAATAATATGTATTCATAATATAGATGGATATTAATTGTATGTAGTTGTTGGAAGTGAATGCTGTGTTATTGTCTTACTGTGTTTGTGTGTGTAGAGGCAGTGCTGTCAGATACTGATGGTAGTTTAGAGCTGGTGGAGTTGAATCCTCCAGACCCCTGGACCGCAGAGCCCAGAGAAGCACAAGAGCTGCATGCCGGAGAGATTATGGTACATAACAATGACACAAAACAGACCATATATCTCATGTCTCTGATGTAAACAAACTGCTTAAAAACTTGAAAACTGCTTAAAAAACTTGAAGCAATGTACGCCATTGTTGACTGATTACTTTATACTTCTCTTCTCACATCCACACCCATGTAAATACACGGCGCCTTGTACCAAAAAAAATAAAAAATTGGACAGCAGCTGTTTAAAGTTTGATTTACAACCCGGAACATAAATATTGACCAAACAATACAATATTTGACCAAACTGTAATAAAATGCCAAAGGACAATCAATATGCAGATGACGTCACTGACAGTGTTGGGAAGTAACTAGTTCCAACTAAATTACATAATTTAATTACCAAATAAGTGTAATTATAATCGGTTACAGTTACTGAGAAAAAAATGTGTAACAAAATTATAGTTACTTATGAAAGGAGGTTAGAGGTTACATCTAAAAAACTAAAATTTCACACACACCCACATACTGTCATGAATCCTGTCTTCCGTTCGACGTTCGATCGCCACCAGAGGTCACCCTTTCGTTACATTGACTCTCACACTACACAAACTGTTACATGTCATCCCGGACTACATATCCCATCATCCATTGCACTGATTGCACACAGCTGTAACCAATCACACATGTGTGTATGTGCTGTACATGTGGAAGAATTGACAATAAAGCAGACTTGACTTGACTTGACTTGACTTTGATAGCTGATAGCTACTTTACGGAGCTTGCCCTAGTTTTCATAGTCTAGTCATAGTCATAGTCTTGCCTTGCCTGTTTTCCTGGTTCCTGATTCTTGCCACGTATCTTGGATTAACCCTCTGTCTTGCTGTTTCAGACTGTGTTTGCACCTCTCCTGGACTATTGTTCATGTTATTGGATTGCCCCTCTTGTCAAGCCCTCTGGATACTGTTCGCCGATCGAAGACCCACGCTAGCCCTAGGAATATTCTTGGTCCTGCCTGTGATATACCTATGTTATCTGACCCTTGCCTGTTTATTGACCACGCCTTTGTAAATAAAGCCTTGCACTTGGATCCGCACGTCTCATGTTCTGATTACTCCGTAACAGAATACTCAGCCAAACAAGGATCCAGCAGCTTTTCACGCAGACATTGGCCAGGTATGGATATGGCAAGACTATTATTAGCCCTCGAGCAGGGCACGCGAACGCTCGAGGACTATGTACAAGAGTATTTAGATCTATCTTATTTCTCTGATCTGCCAGACTGTGTCCTGATAGACTTTTTCTGCGAGGGCATTAATCAGCCAGTAAAGTCAAAGCTCATTCGAGAGGGTCCGCGTTCGTCACTCATTCAGTTTATGGATTATGCTTTGTTGACTGTGGGTTCATCATTCACTGTGGGTGTCGCGGAGGAACGCGACACCGCATCCGCTCGCAAAATGGCGGACACAACAGCGCCCCGTTATGTCACAGCTGCCAATCCTGAATCAAGTCAAGTCACAGCTGATCTTCATGAGTCTAGTCAAGTCACGGTTGATCTTCATGAATCAAGTCAAGTCACAGTTGATCGTCATGAGTCAAGTCTAGTCACAACTGATCTTCATGAGTCAAGTCAAATCACGGTTGATCGTCATGAGGCAAGTCTAGTCACAGCTGATCTTCATGACATGAGTCAAGTCACAGTTGATCGTCATGAGTCAAGTCAAGTCACAGTTGATCGTCATGAGTCAAGTCAACTCATAGCTTCCATTCCCGAGTCAAGTCAAGTTTCAGCTGATCTGCCAGAGCCTCGCCACGTCTCAGCAGTTTGTCCAGAGTCACGTCACAGCTGATCTTCCAGAATCTCATCACATATCAGCTGATCTTCCAGAGTCACGTCATGTCTCAGCTGTTCGTCCAGAGTCACGTCACG